AAGACATCATGATCAATCCGGTAGGGTTGAAACTGAGCAGAGACTCGCCAGTAATAGATGTACTTGCAGTTGTTACATCGCAACAGTGTTACCAGGGGTTCTCTGGCGCCGCAGGTTCGACATGCTTTGGCGATACGTTGGTCGGCCTTCGTAGTTTGCTTGCGAATTTCTAACCATTTCTCTCCGCCCAATAAGTCGAGAATGGGCCCCGCAGGTAGCAAAAGGTATTTCATCTCTCTCTCAGCCATCAACCGAGGGTTCTTGCGAAACCAAGTCGCCAACCAGCTTTCACTGGATGTGCATATGTAAATATTACAGTTAAGGTTAAGAAATGCAAGAACGAACTGAGTTTTGGCTTCATCGTCCGCGCCTATGTTACACAGCGCACGCGACACGAAAGCACGACTGCGAATAAGGTGCGACGCGCCATCACTCGGCCGGCCCACAGATTCGATACCGCGCATCGCGCGGCGCAGCGTCTTGGCGGCCTCCTGGTCATCAGCTCGAGAGAGGACCAGAGCCTCGCCGTATAACTCGAAGGGCATCCTAAATCAGGGATTCAAGACTCGGTGAAACGGGGGGTTTTTTTGCGTACGGATTTTGCATCCACATGTCATCGCCGCGGGTAAGCTCCTCGTCTACCATTGCTTTGGCGTATGGAATTGCCTCTCGTGCACGGTCGGCATGGCTGTTTAGAAGATTGACCGTATTGCATGAGAAAATGTTGAGAAGACTTACAGAAGATGCGACGTTATCTTGCCCCGAGCATTGAGGAGCTGCGCAAAGTCAGAGTGTAGGCCGTACATAAGGCCCCCAACACACCGTTATAGATCGAGATTTTTTATAGTCGTTGCCTGGCCTGACATGTCCTTGAGCTCTCAGGATGGATTCGGGACACTCTTCCATGATACGAATGAACATAGAAAGCGCCCAAATGCAGGCGTCCCTGACATCTTCCGGGACTACAAGGGACCAATTAAATATAAGAAGGAAAGGGGGGATAGAAAGAGGTGCATACCGTCCTGGTCCAAGACAAAATAACTGAATCGGAACAAGTTTGGTAGCTTGTTGTTAAAAATGAGTGCCAGCCTAAGGTGCATCGGAAGAGCTTGTGCAATGAGCTCGACACCGCGGGCGTTGGGATAAAAAAGGGCCACATCTTCGTAGTCCTCGGGCTGTTCTTGCATCTCTTTGGCTGTTTGCGCCGGTCAACGAAATAAAAAGATCCAAGCGGTTATTTGAATCACCTTCGACCGCATCCGTCCGCACGGAGGCAAGCGACGGTAAGGTGAACCCCGGGGGGATAATCAGCCCGTCGAGGTGAGCCCTCGGTGCGTGAGCTGACTCTGAGTTGAGCCCCGTAATCATCATGGCGGTCGCGAAGAGAATCGGAGAGTCACGAAATTTGATGCAATTAAAAAACATGTGATGTGACGAACGCGAATCCCCCTAAACGCGTCGGCGCGTCGGAATCTTAGTGCCCTGTTTTCATAAACTAGTCTACGCTGTTTGCAAGGGGTGGGTTGGAATAAAACCATCAGGACACGCACTGCTCGCATTAGCAAAATACACTTGCCTACGTAGCGTGATGTTTACAACCCGACTCCGATCCACTCCCAAGCGCAAACACTCGTCCGAAGGAAACACCCGGGCACCACCGAACCACGACCATGGGCAGCAGGACGCGGCGGTGCCACGAAAAGTCAATCGTCGAAACGCGTATCGGATGTAGGCAGACAACAGAGACCAAATTGTATCCCATCGATGACGCGGCCGTCGAACCCGCTCGCGCAGTGCAACACGCACATCTGCAACGCCGCGGTATCACTGTGACAGCTTTCACGCAAAGCACCGTCAGGACGCAGAGGCGCCGTCTACATCCAAGGTGGCGGGAACGAAGGCGCGGTAAGCACGTTCGTCTACGGCGAGCCCAATCACCATAGGAGGGGAGCCCCGCCCTCGGCCTCGCAGCACGTGAACAGCCACTGGCACGGAGACGCGACGCACCTCCATCTCAGACGTATACCCCGACACCACCCCGAATGTCTTGAGCGCGGACGCCGTCTGTGGGAACGAGGTGAGTATCAGCGTAGGGAGAGAAAGCGGAGCGGGAAGAGGGAGGGAAGGATATGAGAGGAATATGCATTTAAGTACGAATACACAACTCGAAGTACTGCGCAAGTCTTCGCGTACCGAGCCACCCCGCAGAAGCGCAAGCACACCCTCCCCGCTCGCGCTTCCGGGCATTACACCCCTGTGCGCCCAGCGCCCAAGCGCCAAAACAACTCTTCCAACAACACACGCATGTCCGCGTACTACCCGCACCCGCGGTCAAGCAGGGAAACAACTCGTCCAAGAAAAAAAAAGGTGCGCGATGCGCGCTTCCAGCGCCGTCCCTACACGTCCGCGCACCCGCACCCCCGCGCGCAACCCTCTTTTTGCGCGGGTAGTACGCCCCCGTGGGGGTAGTACACGCACTCGTGTCCCTGAGGCTCCGTTCCCCAGCGGTCCATCCGCGCACCGTCCCCGCAGAAGCGCGCGCAACCGCCCCGCGCGTCCGCGTCCGGGGCCCGGGCAATATTCCTCTCCCCGCCCTCATTACACAACAACGTGAAGAAAAACTCACCAAAAACGGCCGGCCCTCGTCCATCCTCGTCCTCACATTCCTCCTTCCGCCTCTGCACTCCTTTCCACCAAGGCACCTCGGACGCCGCGGTCGACCCATCGGCCCACAAGACGCGTATGGCGGGGAGCAGACGAGCTGGATTTCCGCGTTTTCTCGTGGTGCATTGAGAGGGGGAGCGGTGCGTGCGGGAGCCTGTGGGGGAGAGGGGGTTAGTATGTCGTTGCTGGACGAGGCAAGGAAGAAGAGTCGCGTCAAGGAGAGAGGAACAACGAATAGCGCGGAGGGGAGGGAAAGTGGGGCGGGGCGATAACGGGTTGGGAGGGGTACGGGTACGGAGGAGGGGAAGGAAGAAGGGAAGGCCATAATACAGTATGGCTATGAAAGGAAAGCGGCACGGCCGCTACCAATGGGAGAGTTGGCCAGAGAGAAGGATGTTATAAAGGGATAGGAAGATGGGGAGCGGCGGCGCGCAGAGGTGGAAGCGGGACGACGGTGGAGGAACGGAAAGGTGAAGGAGGTCCTGCGCATCATGTAACCGCGCGCCAGTGTGTATGCGCGCAATATCCCTAGACGAGGAAGAAGAAAACAGAAGAAAGCAGAAAGACGCACCCATCCGGCTGCACGAAAATCTCCCGCCCGTGGAACTAGTACTCGCCAATGTCGATCCGAGTAAATTCGCCGGCACCTCCTCCCCGCGCGCGCGGCGGTAGGGACCGGTCGCGCGATGAGCAGTGGCTCGACGTGTCGGAGGAGAAGGGCGAGTTTGAGGGTGATCGAGGGTGTATGCTGTTGCTGCTCCCGCCACTGCCGATACCACCTACGCCGTTGGCATTAGGAAGAGAGCGTAAGCTGTCGAGTTTCGGCGGGCCTGGACGCGAGTACGGAGACTGGATCTGGATCTAACGCGACGGGGCTCTCGGGCTTGAGCCCGCGTTGTTTGAGGAGCAACGGGAGTTGGAGTCGAGGGCCTCGAGGATGGGGCGTGTCGGAAGGGTTGAGCTGGATGATTGTGCGCCACAGAATACGGTGTTGGATGTCTGGTCTATAATACCACAGAGTGGTGCCCTGTCTGAACAGCAAGAGGCGTACGACGCGCTTCGTCCCCTTGCGGCGCTGACATATCTCCGAGTCCGCCTCCCGAGTGCCTTGTCCAACGATCTGATGGCACAGTCGGTGGTGCGTCTGCTCGAAGTACAAGAGTGGTTGGACAATTTAAGAGAAACCGGGGTCGGGTCGTGCGCGTGAGAGTCAAGTGAGAGTTTGATATGCGTTTTTTCCTGGTTCGTTTCCTCTCTTCTACAGATTGCTTCTCGTTTAAAGGTTTCATTGACACATTTCACCCATCCTAATGTACTGAGCTCTCACAATTGGCTTCTCGCCGCGTCTATTCCAACTTGTGATTGGGGCATGTCGGGGATCTCCCATGTTCAACTCAACTGGCTGAGGTTGGAAGGAAACTGGAAGGAATTTCAGGTGGGTTGATTCTAGGACCGATTCTGGCACCGATTCTGGCACCGATTTTGACGCCAGAATCGGTACCAGAATCGATCAAAATCGAGAATCGGTCAGAATCGGTGTTCCTCCTCGGGAGGAGGAACTCGATGAGAATCGGTGCTTGCCCTAAAGTTCCCTCCTTCCCACTGCCTCTGTCTGAACTATATATTTATCTTGCTTCCCTAAAACATAAACCACGGATCACTGTTGTGCAAGCTAAGTATTCTGGAGCTGTTCACGACCGTATTGCTGAACAATTATTCCTGTGATTCAGGGACTGAAATACTGCAATTCATTCAACTGAACCACACCACCTGCTACCGGCTAATAGATTGGGAGATATAGACACCTACAAGAATCACGGCACAAAACAAACTTGAATCCAGTAAGAATCGGGGCAAGAATTAGATTGAAATATGGGTCGGTCAAAGCTGATCCCGATTCTCGTTCGATTCTCCCGACAGAATCGGTCCAGAATCGAACTCAAAATCGGTCGAGAATCGGTTTCCCAAGACCGCTTTGACTTCCCCTATTACCTTGAGTTCCAAGAGCAGTCATGACCTGGTAACACAGTTTGGTAGCGTGTCTGCTAAAATTACGACAGTCGTTGAATTTTAAGCAGAAGACTCTCGTTCGACTCGGGGTCAGGTCATTTCGCTATGGCGTTTGTTATTTTTTGTTCTCCCTTCCCACGAACGATCCAAAGCCTCTTGTTTAATTCATCCATTGCTAGTTATGCAAGAAACTGTGAAGCCTGAGAAATGGAGGTCCCAAGGGTTGCAGCGGGCATCTCGGGCATCTGCCATGGTTCAACTTAACCAGAGAAGTTGATTCAAATTTCAGGTGGGTTGATATCACCTTGAGTTCCAAGAGCAATCGTGGTCTGGTAGCACAACCGGTTAGTGCATCTGCGCAAAGTAGGGCGGCAAAAAATATCTAAGCAGAAGATCTCCGTTAGAGTCGGGGTTGGGCCACTACTCCATAAACTCCTTTCCTTTTTTCCCTCTCCCTCCATCTCGCTAGCAATTTGAAGCCTCGTTTCTCCAACCACTTACACAAGAACCTGTGAAGCTTGCCAGTGAGGGCGCAAATATTGACGCTTCAAGGTTGTTAACTTTCAACACAAACACAAATTTTGACTTTGTTGGTTCAATACATACCACCTTTAATACTAGAGACTAAAAATGACCTGATAGCATAACTGGTTAGTGGGTCTGCTAGAAATGCGGGAGTGGTTAAGACTTTAAGCAGAAGACCCCCCGTTCGATTCGGGGTCAGGTCATGTTATTGTGGCGCTGTTTTTTTTTCGGCTTCACTTACCTCCTCGTCTCATTCAGGTCTACTTCCCCTTTGCCAGAAAGGACGATATCGTTAGGCCATCATCTCAGGCATGTTCAAACTCTCTACCTCTGTGGAATTTACATCGGAGAACGAGATATGTATACTAGTTAGTTCAATCCAGAGGTCCGTAAACCTCTCCGATGCCTCGAATTGTTTAATTCTCTCGATTGGGGTGGGGCATCTCAGAGTTCAGTTTGGTTCCCTTGACATTACAGTAGCTAGATATGCCGACTATGGTGGATTTCCCGATTTGAACCCAATTCGGCGGGGAGCAATAATCTGCCGAATAATTTGCATGTTGTTGCGTTATAAACGGTAACGGAAGCCCTAGGATATGTACCTTGAAGTCTCTGGAGACCTTCCATTGCAAACTCAAAACGACGACTATCAGTAGGCAGAACATTGATCGATTGATACGACATCGAAATACTACCACGGTTTGAAATACCTAGTACTCGTGTCTCCATGCTTTGAGTTCCCAACCCAGCATGGATCTCTTACTCGAGGCATATATGAGCCAGTCATTGTTGCCGTGTTTAGCTTCACGACATGGTTATTCGATTGATGGAGGATTCCCACGGTTCGGTTTTTTTTTCGGTGGGCAATTGTGGATCTTCGCCGCTGAGAGTGTGGCGATTTTAATTAGGGCCTGGTCTCGATATAAACAGGGAGTTGTCTCACTGAAATTCAGTTTTATTTACTTCAAGTGGATGCCGAGTTTTTCGACTCTCAGACGTTCCGCGGAAATCCATTCCGGAATGCCCGAACCGCCGTCGAGCACCAAGAAAATTAGGTTATCCGGTCGTTTAGAATCATTATTTGGGGGTCATTCGTCCAATATCCCTTACCAACACGTCACATTTGACCGGTGTAATCGTTTTCCATTCCGGCATCAGAGGATGGGTAAAACTCTGATGAGAAAGCTGGACGTACACGCAATATACCCATGCCTCGAACTCTTCACTCAAATTGCTGAGATGCCTCGGCACAGCCTCGACTCAATGTGCGCAAACATTTTTGTTGATGGGGACGGCGGGCAATGTTTGGGCGTAAAGCGACTTCAAACCACACATTGTAAACAGCCAAGGCGACATTTATCCCACATCTTGTGACCTGGTGTTCAGGGGAAAAGTGCGTACATTTTAATATTGTTTATATGGTTGCGGAACGTGCCACCAAAAGTCAATCAGAAGATATGTTTAACATCCTTCGCTCCGCTTCGCAGCACCAGCGGCTTTGGCGGCGCCCCAACATTGAAGCCCTTCCGCCCGTCAGGATCGTATGGGTTTTCGCGGAGAACAACAGAGTTCATGGCACCTGGGCGTCCGGTTGAAGTACCCGAAGATGGAGATATCATTGCGCACGTACCGGTGCCAAGCGACGCCGATACGCCGTGACCAAAATATAAATCCACAAAATGTATCCTCGCATGGACGTCGTGCGCTTTAGGAAACATGTTGTCCACAAATACTTGACCTTCGCCGCGCTCGAGCCCCATATGAGTCTCGATATCGTGGAGAACATCCTTGATGCAGAAGACACCACACGCAAGCACACGGAACTTGTGCTTCAGGCTCGTCGCGGTGGGCACGTACTCGACATGCTTGAACACGATGTGCGTGCGTGCGCGTTGGGGCTCGCGGTGGAGGCCCAGAGCGTGGATCAATCCAAGTTAGTTGGCGTTGTGGCGGGAGTCACACCAGGACGACCAATCTGCGGCACGTTGAGCAGTATCGGGATCGGTTAGGCTTAACCGTTCTATGTTCTTGAGTTTCTCAGCCCTTTCACTGGTGGGAAACGAGTAAATGATGGCAGAATTGGTTTCCCAAGGACTTGGCGTACCGGCATTCGAGCCTGATTTTTTTTTTCAGCGGTCAAGCTGCCGATCCAGCGTGTGCAAGGCGAGGACGTACTTGTGATGACTCCAGTGCGCCTTCTGACATGCCCTAGAGCTGAATTTCAAAAGGTGTCAGCCCGGGGCTAGTAGAATGTCACAGAAACTCACCAGTAATAGGTGTACTTGCAGCTGTTACACTTCAAGAGTGTTACGAGTGGTTCTCTGGCGCCACATGTTTGACATTTTTTGAAGATACGTTCCTCGGCCTTCGTGGTCTGCTTACGAGTTTCCAACCACTTTTCTCCGCCCAATATGTCGAGGATGGGGCCCGCAGGGAGCAGTAAGTATTTCATCTCGTTCTCGGTCATCAGCCGGGGGTTCTTGCGGAAAGAAATGTGAAAGTACAAGGGTTTAGGCATCAGCATGAACAACAGAAGTTAGGCTGTGACTCGGACTTACTTAACGGACATCGAAAGGTGGGACAAAGGAACTGAAAGAAATCAGGTTCCGAGCCTTCTTGAAAATTCCGAAACCCGCTGGATTGAAGGGAGATGATCCCTCGGAGACAAATCTGGATCGCTATGGTACTATTGCTGTGTGCGCAAACAAGGTTTGAACAAGGTTGTGGCGAGGACAAAAAAGTGAGGAAGGCAGTGCTGAGGCGGTGCTGCCAGCGTCGGGTTTGAACGGCTCGACCATCCGGCAAACCCCTACTATTCTCGCCACAAGTGCCACAAACTCGAAATTCATTCGATAAAATTAGCGACAGTGATGTGATTCGATTCTCTAAGGGTACAAGCTAAGTTCGGTCTGATACCCTCTACACACGAAAAATGAACTCCGGAAAATGTCGGAGAACCGCATCGATGCGGACAGTAAAGTCACGATACACACTTCCCAAGAGGGCAGCTGGACGATAAACGCATCGAATTTTCGTTCTTTTTCGTTGGATCATTACAAGAATAATACTTGACGAGGCAGGGACGTCGAATTGTTCCCACGGTTCAAAATGTTCGCTGCTGACGCGGGAGCCCCTACATTCCTTACTGTGTTCCACAAAACAAGCCATAGCTTCCATCTCAAGCTCTTTGAAGCAATCAACCAGTCCGCCGCAAGGCCGGGCTTTCCGAGAGTCATATCGTGGTTACTTGATGGCTATTTCCCACGGTTCGTTTTCAACCTCACACTCGACCCGAAAATGCACCTCGCTAAAATTCAACTCGAGTGGATCCTGAAGTCCTCGATTATTTACACAGCATTAGCTTCAGTAGGCCAGTGACATCGCATGGTTTCATGTAGTTCCTGGGAGACAGAGCCATAGGTCCGCATTGCGTCGTAAACGCAATGTCAAGCCGCCGGAACGAGGCTCCGAATATTTCACCCAAACCGCTCAGTGTAGCCCTTATACTAGCGAGCTCTTTTGTCGGCGAGGATGTGTGTGTGAGACTTTCATGCAGAGCGATATTTGAGCGTAGCGACTTTCAAAACGAGTCGACATCTAACAGTTCTCGTTACCTTTGCGCGAACTTTCAATTTCAATTTCAGGTCTGAGGGAGATAAGATATACATCGGAAGATATCAAGCCTTGGTATATTGGAATGAATGTGAGTCTCCAGCTAAACGTCGGCTCAGAAGACATGTTCAACATCCTTCGCTCGGCTCATCGATATCATCGGTTCTGGCGGTGCGCCGACATTGAAGCCCTTCCGCCAGTCAGGATTATGAGGGATTTCGCGGAGAGAGGCGCTGCTTATGCCGCCTGTAAATTCAGGTCAAAAATCCCAAAATTGATATGTGGTTGCACACGCACCACTACTGAGCCACGCCTGTACATCATTTCCAAAAGATAAATGTGTGAAAGGTATCATCCCATGCATTTGAGGGAGCACGCTGTCCAGCACACTGTCCACGTATTCCTGACCTTCGCCGCGCTCAAGTCCCATGATGATCTCGATATCGTGGAGAACATCAAGGATGCGGAACACACCGCACGCAACAATACGGAACTTATACTTCAATTTTGTCGCGGTGGGCATATACTCGACGTGCTTGAACACGATGTGTGTCCGTCCGCGTTGTGGTTCGCGATGGAGGCCCAAAGCGTGGACTATCCCAAATTGCATTGCATCGTGGTTGGAATTGCACCAGGACGACCAATCTGCGGCGCGTTGAGCGCCATCGGGATCGGTTAGACTCATAAGTTCTATTTTCTTCCGCGCCTTGACCCTGTCACTGGTAGGAAACGAGTAAGTAATGTGTTAATCGGTTTACGAAGGACTTGACGTACCGGCATTCGAGCCTGATTTTTTTTTTCAACAGTTAAGCGGCCGAGCCAGTGTGTGCAAGGCGAGGACGTACTTGTGATTGCTCCAGTTCGCCTTTTGACACGCCTTAGAGCTGAAATTCAAAAGGCGTCAGCCCGGGGCTAGTAGAATGACACAGAAACCCACCAGTAATAGGTGTGCTTGCAGTCGTTACATCTCGAGAGTGTTGCGAGTGGTTCTCTGGCGCTACATGTTCGACATGCTTTGACGATACGTTCCGCGGCCTTCGTGGTTTGCTTGCGAGTTTCCAACCATTCTTCTCCGCCCAATATGCCGAGGATGGGGCCCGCAGGGAGCAGTAAGTATTTTATCTCGTTCTCGAGCATCAGCCGGGGGTTCTTGCGAAACCACGTTGCCAGCCAGATTTCGCTAGATGCTCGCATATAAATGTGCGTGAGAGAGATCTAATTCTGACGCACTGAGTTTTAGCTTCGTCATCCAGCCCTATGTTGCGCAGCGCACGCGACAAGAAAACCCGGGTTCGAATAAGTTGTGGGATGAAATTACTGGGCCAGTTCGGAGACTCGATACCGAGCAGCGCACGGCGCAACGTCTTCACTGCCTCCTTGTCATCCGTTCGAGAATGAACGAGCACCTCGCCGTATATCCTGAACGGATCACTACATGCCGGATACGTCGAGGCCTCATTGAAACGGGATAAATAAGATCGCGTACGGATTTTGGAGCCACATTTCATCTCCACGGGTGTCCTCGTCTACCATTGATTTCCCATACGAAATGGCCTCTTGGGCACGGTCGACACGACTGTTGGAGAAATAC